CAACACATCCTCGGTGAGCCTCTCTTATGCGGTCAGGCAGAAGCCTATGGAAAACAGCCCCTCTCTGCTTTCCAGTTTTAATTTAACTCTTTTAATTGGCTTACTGAGGAGAGATGACAAGTTGTAACCCCCAGTTAAATAACAGTCTGAACCCTCCTCCATTCACTGGCTCTTCTCAGGTCTAAGGAATAGGCCCTGACTGTGTAGGGATGACCTGGGAAGTCAAGGCAGAAGCATGCTTCTGATTTGTGACAGCCCATTGGAACTGGTGGGTTTCCCCAGCTCCACCAGCAGCCCCCCCCTTCACATCCTGATGAGCCTGTCTACCTACAGTGTTCACAGAACCTGGCTTCTGAGTGTGTTATGCTGTCTTCCTTGTTAGCTTACTCAAGATTCTGTTGCAAAAACTCCAGCTACCCTTAACTCACTTCTGTTTTTCTCCCTCCCCTCCCCCAGTTATTCCTGGCATTTGAATTCTTAGTTCCATGTGGACAGAAAATAACTCTGAGGTCCCGAGAGCTTAATTTCTTACTTGCTTTTTGTTCGCTCACACACATCATTCATCCAGAACTTAGGATGTGCAAGAGTTTTCTGTGTGAAATAAGTTTCTATAAATCTGCCGTGATAGTTTGTTCTGGGATTCCTTTGAAGGAATGTTGGAGCCTTGCAGGGCATAGATATCTAGGATGGATGTTACTAAAGCCATGTTAACGCTGTCATTTACAAGACAGGCTATAAGAACAAAAGCCAAAACAAAACAGTTTCTCTAAAAGAAGCAAACTGCTATAAGTACTGAGAAGGCCAGAGCAAGAAACGTCTCAGAAACCTCACAAGGATAAGCAACAGAACAGGGCCGGGACTGTGATAGGGTGCGGGGTAACTACAGGAAATAGATTGCTAAGTCTCTGTAGCAGATATAGTTGGTTGGGAGTGGGATCCCCCGCTCTTATCTTCTTGAAGAACTAAATTCAGTCAAGAGCCGGTTTAACAGACCTTTGTTTAGCAAAGGAGCAGTTAAGTTAGTGTAAACAGAGCACTCCAAACAGATTGCCATGAACTACCCAAGATGGGCAGTATCCACGAATATGTATGAGCATGCAGACTCTGCTATCAGGGAGCAAGGCAACTTGAATTATAGCTACACATTTAGGCTTTCCTAGTGTCTGGCCAGTTCAGCTGTCTCATACCCGGCTGCTAGCCCTTTAGTTACCTTCCTGGTGCCCCCATCCTCCCTGTTTTAACATTTGTTTTTACTGTAATTTAATTGCCAGCAAGAGGGACCTCCAGAAGGGCTGGGGATCTGGAGTTCTCTTTCTTGGGGAGTACAGTGTTAGCCCTGCTGAGATACTTAGTAGCTATTTGTCACACTTATTAACTTACTGAGGTACATATACTACAGGGTCCTGTGATCCCAGATTCCACACTCACTGGCCTCACTCTGTCCCCCACCAAAAGTCTCCTCTAGCTGAGCAGAGGGGACCTTCACATAGCTGCATCCACAGGCTAAATTTGTTTCTCTCGTCATGTTTAGTAATTCTTTCTGGGCTCATTTTTACTTTGAGTTTCATTTCTCTTTTCTTCTTTGATTTTAAAAGGCAGGATTCTGTAGCCCAGGCTGGCCTTGAGTTTAGTATGTAGCAGAGGTTGGCCTTTAACCGTGAACTCCTTCCTGGTCCTTTTGCCTCTTCCAAGTGCTGGGATGACAGGCATGTGCGACTGTGCCCAGTTTCACTTCTGTTTTCAAAGATGGGATTTATTTTTATTTAAGTAAGAGTAGCAATCACAGTAAATATGTGGATTGTACTTTAAATCTATCGAGTGCATAATCAAGCTATATTTAATCAGAGATGTGGGCCACCTTGCTACTTGGTGGTATGACCACAAGTGGCATCTTGCTTAAAAGAAAACTTTTAATAATAAACTACGACTGACTAATTTTATTTCTTCACCAACACCCATCACCTAATATGTAATGAACACAAAGAAAAATGAGGCATACTGTTTCTGTCCTCAGTTTATGACGATAATTGGATAGCCTTGTTATAATAAACTTCTTTTTATAGACTTGTTATGGTAGTTATATGTTAAGCCTTTTCCTTTTCAATTATAATAGCAACCTTTGCTTAAGAAGAAAATCTGATTCCTGAATAAGAGGAAAGTTTAGGTAATCTATAAATCTGTTTTCTTTGTAGTCATCTTTATATTTACACATGAAACTTAAAGAAACAGGATAGAGGTCTGGAGAGATGGCTCAGTGGTCAAAGAGCACTTGTTGCTCTTACAGAGGACCCAAGTTCAGTTTCCAGCGTCCACATCATGGCTCATAACCCTCCAGCTCATAAAAGTCTCAGTTCCAGGGAATCCAAAGTCCTCTTCCGATCACCACAGGCACCAGACACGTGAGTGTCGCACATACATACATCGAGGCAAAAAACTCAAGCTCATAAAATAACTAAATCTCAAACAAGAAAAAAGCAGGGTAAGGGAAACACCTACCACTGTTGTGTAGCCATGAATATGCCATGAACCTCCTACCTCCTTGCAATGATACATGGAAAAGGAGCATGTAATTATTCCTTTGTATTTACCCCAGCCTCTGCCTCCCGAGGCCTGGGATTAAAGGCGTGTGCCACCAACGCCCGGCCACACTGAAATTTTTAGATTATCATTGTTATTAACAATGTCCTGGTTTTTAATATGTTCAGGTAAATTTTGCTCATATTTGTAAAATCTAACTTATTTCATAGCTGAATAGCAGTTTGATAATTGGTTGTTTTGTTTACGGGTAATTAATAAGTGAAACAATTATAATTTTTAAAATTTGAATGTCTTTGCTCAGTCCTAATGTTGAAATACGAAGGGCTTTTTTTCTCTATGAAAATTTATAGTTATTTGTTAAAATTAATAGTTTAATTTTCACTGTTATGCTATGGGGCATTTATATGGCTTCTATTTTTTTCCCTCTATTTTAGAAGTTTGATGTAGCAATAATGAGATGACTGTGTCACGCAGGGGAAAGCCAGACTGAGCCGGGGAGCGAGCGCACACCCTGTGGAGTGCAGGGGCTGTAAGGCTGGCAGTCTCTCCTAAAACCTCCCTGGCTTTAAAAATGAAGAGATGAGTGGCCCCCTGTCCCTGGGGTGGTTTAGAGGCAGCCTGTATTGGGCAGAGGGAAGTACAGGGTGGCCTTTCAAGATATTTTAAATTTCAGAGTCTATAATTAGAAAACACTGTGAGTTCTTTATACAGTTTTACCCTGATCACACCCATCTGTTTTAGTGGCTTGTCCTTTCTCCTTTTTCCTTTTTTCTTGTATTTTCTTAAAGAAAGAAAGAAAGGAAGAAAGGAAGGAAGGAAGGAAGGAAGGAAGGAAGGAAGGAAGGAAGGAAGAAGAAAATCAAGGTCTTACTGTGGAGCCTTCCCTGCGATTCACTGTTGTACCAGGCTGGCCTTAAACTCAGATCTGAGTGCTGGGATTAAAGGTGTGCACCACCATGCCCAGCTCTGGCCCGCTTTGATACATATCTACCTACAGGATAGGCACATCCCTACACTCTGCCTCAGAGGGTTTTCAGTGTCTCACTTGACAGTGTCACGCTTCTAAACAGTAAAACATTGTCATCTCTCCCTTTCTACTCTTACCTCGGTGACTTCTGATATTTTTTGCAAGGAACGGACTCTTTTTCTTTGTTTTATTGAGACAGGGTCTGTCTCCCTACAAGGCCAACTCCAGCTAGTGATGGCCCTGCCTTAGTGTCTCAGGTGCTGGGGTTACAAGCGTATGCCACCAAGCCCATTTTTTTTAACGTGTGACTCTTAGCATGAGTTAGTGAACAAATATTTACATAGAACCGTCGACTCTGCCAGGCCTTGTATCTAAAAGGCAGTTAAAAGCCTACCAGTGGCTCTTCCCTCGTGATGCTTACAGCCTCTCGGAAAGGAAATAAATAATCTTGTCTACCAATTGACTGAGTAGTTGCTCTTAGGGAACTACATTGATGGAGAAGAAAATGCAGAGTAGGGTAGACCAAGTGCAAAGGGGTCCCAGAAGGCCTCCTTAAGGGATAGGCCGGGTTAATTTGGGGTAATGCCATTCCCACTGCAGAGCGCTGCCAATTGTATCGTGAACTCCAAGTAGAACATTCTATGCCTGCTTTCTATAGCAATGTGCCACATGGACTAAAATGAAAATGACCTGTGGTGGTCATTTACATATTGATTTCTTCAGCAATGCTTGCCATCAACACTATTTCAAAATAACTAGGAGAGGGTTGGGATGTTTGTGAAAACACACATATAAACACACAAAGAGACACACAGAGAGACAGAGAGTAGGTGACATTGCACACTGTCCACATGTATTGAATGTAAAAAAAAAAATATGTTCAGTCATTACGTTGTAGTTAAATAGATTAATAGCATTTTACCTTAAAAACAAAACAAAACAAAACAAAACAAAAAACCTTAAATAGCCTCCAGAATGTAGCTACGTAAAACGGGAAAGGCTGACAAACTGGTTCGTGGGCTTACCTCCGACTCTGTGAAGTAGTCATGGGGTTTCAACACATCATGGTGTCCATAGACAGTTTGGGGATGTCTGAGGGAAGACACTCCATGTTTCAGTTGGATGTATTTCAGTTTACAGCTCCCAGGTCACCCTCCATTGCTTAAGGAAGTCAGGGCAGGAACTCCCAACAGGGCAGGAACCTGGAGGCAGGAGCTGATGTAGAGGCCATGGAGGTGTGCTGTGTACCGGTTTGCTCCCCATGGCTTTGTCAGCCTGTTTTGTCACAGAACCCAGGACCAGAGGTGTGCTGTGTACCAGTTTGCTCCCCATGGCTTTGTCAGCCTGTTTTGTCACAGAACCCAGGACCACCAGCCCAGGGTCTCACATCAGTCATCACTTTTAAAACACGCACCACAGGCTTGCCCTCAGTCCGGTCACACCAAAATGATTCTATCTTGTGTCAACTTGATGTAAAAACTAGCTAACACAGACCCCTTTTTAAAAGCTGAGTTTTTGTTTGTTTTTTCTCTAATGATTACAGAAAGGCATTTACAGAAAGCTCAGTGGTCACCTCGTTTACAGTAAAGTCTGTTTTAAGCACAAGAGCTTAGGATAGTAGGAATGGGCTTCTGAGTTGTGTAATCCTGAGACACTTCTCTTCCAGCAGGAGGCTTCCAGATCCATTAGATCAGGGTCCAGGGCACCCCACTGCATCAAGGCTCTGAGCGTTTTTCCCCCGGCTGTATTTCAGTCATCTCCCCATCTTAGAGGATTTGTCCCTCCAATCTAGCACCGCCTCCTCCTGCTCTGCCTGTGCAGGAAGACGGCAGTGAGAATGGGGGTGGAGATGGGCAGGTTTTTCTGTGTAGTGCTGAGTATGACGTGCCCTCGGCTCTCACTCATCAAAATGAGAACTGGACCTGTGACGGTGCCTCAACAATGGCGACCTGGCTGGCCTTCACTGCTGCTCAATACCTCTTGTGTGGAGAGCTGCAGCAAACGTGTTAAACCTAAGTGTAAAGATAGTTACACATCTCCAACCATCTCTCTTTCTCTGAGTTTGAAAACCTGTTTCTCCCCCCAATAGAAACAGAAGAGCTGAGAGCCCAAATTGTAGTCATTTTGTAAGAGTTTAGGAGTAAACTGTCTTGGGGCTCTTTATATTGATTTGATTCATTTACCAGGTACATACGATCTTTACCACATGCTCAATGCTATTCCCTTAATATGAATTCCTTCCGTTTAAAAAAAAAAAATCTTTTAAGGATCTTGTCAAGTTTGTATGCTTCATGCCTGAATTCATGGAGGAGGACATTAAAACCCTTGGCATTAGCTTTTTAATTCCTCACACCCAATTCTCCCCTTACTGCCTTTGTGATCAAGAACTCTTATTCTGTGTTCGACCTGCTCAGTTTCTGCATTTCCTTCTAGGTAGCAGTTTCTTACTGATTTGAGTTCTAGAACTTACCTTACTTCCATGTGAAGTTGTCCCTGGCACATCATGTTCAAAAGAAGATGTCTCCAGATTCTGTGACACTGTCTTTTCTCAGTGTGACAGTGTTCATTGGATGGGTACATAATTCTGGCCCAGATACACACACCCAGTTTGACTGGACAGAAAGTGTCGTGTTTAGCTAGCTGTGTTGTTGAAAAAAAAAATCTGATAATCTGTTTAACAAACTGATAATATTATTAATAGCAAATATTGTGTTACACACTTTTAATTATGGACTGACTTATTTGGCCACAGCACAGGGGCAATCATTGCTTTCGTTTGACTTACCTTTGCTGTCTAAGAAATAAAATGTGCAGTGTATCCTGTCCATGCCCTAGAAATCTCTGAAGTGTGAGGGACCTCTAAAGTGTTGAAAGGGGAAACCGGAATTTTTAGAAAGATCAATGTGGACTTGGGAGTCAGGAAGTCCCAGTGTCACTGTGATGATGTCCTGGCTTAACTGTGGTGATGGCCTGGTGTAACTATGTTGGTGGCCTGGTGTAGCTCTGCCCAGGTCTTGGTGTAGATATACAGGTACCTGAACTCTGTAAGCTCTTACTTTAAAATATGTCACCTTGCAGACTCCTGAATAGTGATTTAGCATTTACACCAGAGAAATGGGGAGGGAAGCATCTGCCCAGGGGTTGGGTGGTTTTAACTCGGTGACATCTATACCTGATCATCAGTGTTCTCACTTGGGCTTATAACTTTCTCTAGTTTTCTATAATTTGACTGTTAAGCAAATAGATTTACAGAATTCCTTTTGCACCCTTGCCTTGGAACTTAGTTAATAATCTGATGTCCCAGTTATGCTCAATCCTGAGGTTTATCTGCAAATCCATAGATACTTCTAGAAACTTCACGTTCTGGCCCTCTGGGCTCTTCACACACCCATTTTCAAGGCAGCAGACTTTTGCCTTGATCCAGTGTAAGGCTCAAAGCCTGAAATACGATTGTTGTATGGTCCATGTTTTGTTAGCATCCTGTTTAACATTTTTAAATTATGAAATGTGAAGTAAGTAAACGTTAAGCATCCATTTCTTTAACTGCTTCTCCTAAAGGAATTAAGATAGGTGTAAAGAGCTTGAGGGCTGGAGAGATTGCTCGGTGATGAAGAACACTGGCTGCTCTTGCAGATGGTTCTGGTTTGATTGCCAGCATCCATATGGTGGCTCTCGAGCATCTGTAATTACAGTTCCATTCAGTATCCTTTTCTGGCCTCCACAGACACTGCTTGCACCTGGTGCACAGACATATATGCAGGCAGAATACCCATACACAAAAGACAAAAATAAAGGTTAAAAACAACAAAAAGTTATCTTTTTTAAAGTTTATTTATTTCTGCTGAGGCTTGAGCATCAGGCCCCACACATGCTAAACATTACCACTAAACGGCATTCATAACCGCAAGAATTTATGTCCCATCATTTCTCAGCCTTTTGGCTAAGATCAATTGAAGAGTTTATGTTTTCTGTAGTCAAGAGCAATGGTTTTGAATGCTTGGCATTCATTAGCATGTTTTTGCAGATTATTGGCTACTTTTCTTGTTACTGAGAGCAAATGCCAGACAAGAAGCTCATTAACGAAAGAGTTTATTTTAGTTTGGGGAGAGATGGCCCAGGGAAGCAAGGGCAGGCACAGGAGGTGGCTGGTCATATTGTGTCTGCAGACAGAAGGCAGGGAGAGAAAGGGAGAGAAGAAGAAGAAGAAGAAGAAGAAGAAGAAGAAGAAGAAGAAGAAGAAGAAGAAGAAGAAGAAGAAGAAGAAGAAGAAGAAGAGAGAACTTGATGCTCAACCCACTTTCTTCTTTTGATTCAGTCTGGGGACTCTAGTTAATGTAATGGGGTCCCCAGAGTGGGTCTTCCTATCTCAGGCCTGGAAATATTGTCATAGAAACACTCAGAATCTTGTTTCCAAGGTGTTTCAAAATGCAGTCAAGTTGACAATGGAGATTAATCATAGCGGCAGACATCAAATGGTATTGGGCTATTGCTGCGTCTCAGGATGACAATGAACATTGAGTGACACTGTGGCAGCCACCATTCCCAGTGTTCTACATGTGTCACCTCACAGTTTTCACGCTATTGGTTCTGCTTCAGAGCTAGAGGGTTACGTCACTTTCTCCAATATTAAGAGGATAGAATTTGAATTCAAATCTTCCTTGTTTACCAGCTGAACTATTAGCCAGAAGCCTCTCCCGAGCCACACACATGGTGACATCATACTGGTACCTCAGGACACTGGATAACATAGACTTTTATATGTTCATTCTTTAGTGTGGCAGTGGTCTAATTGCTTGCCACTGAGTGTCCAGAATCATATTCGGGATTTTTTGAAAAATCACCTCCAGATGCCATTATTCTTTGGGCAAAATCCAGATGTATTAAGTGTGGCCTTCCTGGATTACATAAGATCTAGACTTAATTCCTTACAAGTTCACTTGCCTACTGCTGGTAAACATGATAACCCCTCCTTCTGTCTCAGATGACCCCACTCAAGCTAACATGACTCCTGTTCATCCTTCAGATCTGAGTTGAGAAAGCCTTTCTTCCCAGAAGCCTTCCCTGAACTTTCCAGACAAGGTTGTGTGCTTGACTTTGTGTTGCTATAGCCCTGAACTTTTAACCCAAACAGTTATCTCCCTGTGTGATAGGGAATTGTTTAGTTTCTCAACTATTCTGCAGGCTTCATGAAATGGGGTAAAGGCTGTCTTGTTCACCTGGCCATAATGGACAGATGCCTAAATGAAAATTAAATACCTTTTCAAAATATGAGACAGTCAGTGGTCATTAAGTTCTAAGTACACACAATACACTGCTTACTGTCCTAAACAGGGCACCGTGTGCACGTGATGATCTGTGATCCTTAGTCAACCAGAGGAATGAAATTCTTTTAGAGTTTTTATGAAACAGGTACCAACACATTCATGGCTTTAAATTCTTAGGTGTCTGCAGGCAGACTCATTTCTCAAGGTCTAAACTCAGACAGTCTGAAGGCCTGAGCTTTCAATAATGCATGAGCCTAAACATTATTTTTAGGGTGGCAAAGAATCTACCTATCAACCATGAACTCTATTTAAAGAAAACTTGCTTTATACATGGTTAAGGATTTTAAAATTTTTGGAAAGTAATTCACATTCTTTATATCTTGCCAGTAATTATAAACGCAGCCAGTTTGGATCATGGCAGTCCTTTTTTTCTTAAATATTCTATGAATTTTTGTTGGATTTTTAAAAAGTATATCTTGAAAGAATACTGTTTTGGAGCTGGGCGTTGGTGGTGCACACCTTTAATCCTAGCACTCAGGAGGCAGA